TTACTACTAGTAACAAGAAGCTGCTAGGAACAAGGGCATTGCTACTAAGAGCTTCTAGGATGCAGAAAGCTAAGTCAGAGTCAGAACTGTGTTCTTTGCAAGTCTTTATTTGTGGATTTCAAGGACGTTCTCACTGACGGTAGAATTCATTTACGAGCCCTCAAAGCATGTTGAGTTGTTGCACCCTATTGGCCCTATTGCACTCCGGTGGAAGTATACATGCAAAGTGCAAGGGCAGCAGATGCAAAGCTTTGTACCCTAGTAGATGGCCTCCACTCTAGTAGCGATGGTGTTGTAAGCTTGCTTTGTTTTTCTTGAAGACATCATATCCGCCCATCGAAGTCTTTCTATCCCCAACGAGGCTGTGGGCTTGTAGCAGTGGAGTGTTTTGCCGCAGTGCTCTTTGTCAGCGACTTCATCCAGGACTGTGTTGAACCTCAGGCACCCCACCAAACTCTCTCAAGTACGTTCTGGCAAAGCTTGATGGTGAGGGGTGTATACTTCTCAACGTGCTTTATACTGTTCTACTCTGGATGCTTTGTCATGAAGACTTCCGAGAGTCTCAGATCTGGCTAGACAGGAGCAGGTGGAGTCTATCCAGATGAACAGCACACTAGTGGAGACGTGCGCATATGATTGTCAAGAGGACAGATCGCTTCGTTTCTTGACAGCGACTGCTTGAGATATACAAGACTTGTGGTGACGTGTGCATCCATCTATTCGGTTGAAGAAATAGATTTTCCCCGCTGATTTCTGCGCCTGAGAAGTTCAGGTAGTCCACATTACCCCTCCAAACCCTTGAAACAAGTCCGATTTCTCCAAAAATCTAGGATCCAAATCCTTAGGCCTGAGCCGTTCTGAGTCCAAGATACTAGTAGCTACTCAAGCTTAGTATTTGCATCTTTTCTTGGCTTGCTGGTGGAGGCACCTACGGCCCACTTGGGGCCACAAAATAGAAAAGAGTGCTGTTCTTTCTTGTTCCTTGGTCGCTTTCGGACATCGACCCAGTGCTCCCGCCATGCAAGGTACCAACGCACGCACGGGCCGCGGACGTCATTCTGGGAGCACTTCACGTCGATCTTCGGCCCCTGCTGGTGCACCGAATGCACTTCTTGAAAATGTTCCGTTCGTAGCTACTAGTAACAGGTGCATCGCTAGTAGTAACAAGTGCCTTACTAGTAGTAATAAGAAGCTACTAGAATTAAACTATAATTAGTAAGGCACTTGTTACTAGAAGCGATGCACTTGTTCCTAGTAGATTAAACATCGAATTTTATGATTCCAGCAAGCTCCATTGGCCAATTCTCGGACCTCACACAGCTTTGAAACAGCTTCTTCCGAAGGCATCTCGACTGAAACATGCTGCAGGTGGACCTGGCCTTTCCCTTTTCCGCCGGCCCTGGAGACCGGACCACAGGGGCAGATGGGGTCGCAAACGCTGGGCTCCTCCATGTGTTTTTGCACTACAAACACTACGACACTAGTAGCGTCCTTGCTCCTAGTAGCGATGCCAGGAGCCCCTAGTAGCGATGCCCTTGCTCCTGGTAGCGTCCTCTTCACACCATCAGTCTTTGACTGCGAATGTAGCGCGGGAAGTTGGCCTGAGAATTTTGGGATACAAGACGAACAACCTAGGTAGCCTATGTGATCTAACTACCTATGCCGCTATGCCTGGCATTTGCAATGAACCGTGAGGTTTCTTGATTTTCCGTGCACCGTGTGGGGTTCTTACTTTTTCTCGGGTCTTCCGGCCCTCCTCCCGATCACACCTCCAGACGCGTTTGATTGCACCAGGCCCTGAAGAGGCCTCCAGGAAAAAAAGGGCCCAAGGAAACAGGTAGTTCAGGTGGTTAAACCTTAGCAGGTACATCAGCAAGCGTCCTTGGTCCTTCTCTTCAGGTGTAGGGCATCCATCTACTTTCATCGTCTTGAAGAGTTCACATCAAAGCCGAAGAAATTCTGTTTGCAAAGGTGAGAGACTGAGGCACCGTCAAGATATGCAATGAAAGCCAAAAGGCTCCCTCTGAATCCAAGGAGGGCTCCACACATATATATATATATATAAATGTATTGTAATATATATATACATATAAACACCTCTGCCCACTGCACACACACACACAAACACTTGCATTTCTCTCTCTCTCTCTATGCGCCATCTCTTCTGTCATCCTCTCCCATGCCTTTGTCCACAAACCTTATTTTCTTGATATTCACTTTCTGAAAGCTTGTTATTTGGGGTTATCCGGTTCTTTCATTTTGCGTTTTTTGGCGGCCAAAAACCGTTTGTTCTGTGGTGCTTTCTGCGTTTCCACTCCCAACGTGCGTTCCGGAACTTGGTCTCCGCTTGTTCGGACGGAGACGTCAAGTCATAGCGATGCACTTGTATTTTTTCGCCCCGGGGAGGGGGTGGGGTAGACCGTAGAGGTAGCTAGAGGTAGCTTGTAGCTACATAGCTAGTAGTTTAAGTAGCTACCGACGGAACGCAGGATAGCTTGCGCTTCTTCAAGGAAGCTCGCCCTGCCGCCCTAAAGGCGGCGGGGCAAGCTTCCTTGAAGAAGGACTCGCACTAAACTTAAGGTAGTAGCTTCTTGTTCCTAGTACTAATGGCCTCCAACCTAATGGCGATGGCCTCCAACCTAAGAGCAATGGCCTCCAACCTAAGAGCAATGGCCTCCAAGCTTCTTGCTCCCAGTAGCCATGCATTTCTAATTGAGCATATTGCGATCACATTTTTTGGGACAAAACGATGACGGTATTGTGAAGCATTGCAAAACCAGGGGCCCGTTTCCGGTCCGTAGGCTGAAACACGGAAACCATGCTGAAACAGCAGAAACGGCCTGATGTGTTTTTCCTTTTTTTTTCCGGGAAGCGTAACACAATGATTCCAGGCGTGAGGGGCCCACCATTAGTTCTAATTCTAATTCTTGTTACTAGTAGCTTCTTGCTCCTAAGGGGCCTAGTAGTATGGCCAGAAGCCCCTAGTAGCGTCCTTGCTCCTTGTAGCGATGCCAGGAGCCCCTAGTAGCGTCTTTGCTGAACTTCATGCTGCTCTTGAGGCCTGACTACCTGGAGCCGGCCCTACCTGATGAGGCGGAGCTCTGGAGTCAGGAGCTTGCTTCAGTCTAGTGAAAAGGAGAGAGAAGAGAACGAGGAAAAAGAAGAGCAAGAGGAAAAGAAAGGAAAAGTCTGAAAGAACAGAAGACAAAAGGAGATGAAAATCGAAGAGTAAAGAACAGTAAAGAACAAGAGAAAACAACAAATCATCCCTTGGCAGCTTTTTGGTTGGGCGTTGTCGTTTGTGCTCTCCAGGACTGCGCAGATGATCACAACAGTCTGGGCATTGCAGGTGAAGAGAGCGAAGAGATGGCAGCAAAGGAGGTCTGCGTGGGAAATTTCGAGCAGAGACGAGTGGCTTGGTCAGTCACCCATGCATGTGGCTCCGGTTTACCTGGTTGGCAGGATTGGCACTTACTAACATTGAGGAATCTTGATCTCTTTTGCAATGCTCAATGAACTGTTTCTGTGATTGGTCCGTGCCACAGTTTCGCATCATGTAGAGGATAAAGGCATACGCATCTTCCAAACTTGTGCAGGAGACCCTTAGTGCGCGACCGAGGCACATTCTGCGGATTGGGCGCAAGGAAATAGATTGTTCTCCAAAAAACTTGAGCCTATCTGTAGCCTGAAGTAGCCTTACACGAAGATCCTCTATTTTGCACATCTAACTTTCTTCATTCGGCGCTATATTTCTACAGTTTGTGTCGCAAGGCAAAGGCACACGGACAGCAAGCTTGACTGAGCTTGGATCAACAGCATCCGCCGCATCCAATTGTCAGAGCTTCATGTCTTGCCCCCGAAGGCAGATTCCAGTGTTCATCACACGAAAAGGACGAAAAGGTTCGAAATCCGATGAACAAAAGCAGGAGCTCTTGGTTTGTGCCCTTACCGGCACTTGAGAAACGGATGTGCCACGGCTGCCAAAATTGGTGAACGACCTGAAGTCAGATCTTGATTGCTGCTGGTTGACTTGCTTCTTCGGGGATCGCTCCGAATGCTTGTGTGTGGGCTGAGAGTCAAGATGCATGTGATCTTGCAAACACCAAAGAAACTTTGACACATCAAAAGGATCATGCACGAACATATGTCACTGCTCTTGAGCCTCTTTTGGACATAGGAAAAACTTGTCTGTGTACTTCGCTGCAGATCCCAAGTACCCTTGAAAGGACCACCCACGAAGGGACAATGGTCGCAGGCTCACATGGCTTTGCTGTGCTGCTTTGCATGTGAGCTCTTGAGAGGAGAAGCCACGGAGGGATCAGAGCTCGAAAGTCCTTCTGGTCAAGTCCAGAGTTGGAAGTGAGTGATGAATTCCAAACCGACCAAAGTCAGGGGCAAGCGTGTGGTCATACTACGAGGGAAAGCTGCTGGCTTGCTGAGGGAACAGTCAAGTATTGACCCGGATCGGCAAAGCCGAAGGTCAAGGGCACTACTGGAGGGTATGATGCCAAGATTGGCATCTCATCCAAGAAGGTCCACTGCCTGATGGGCATGAGGGGTCTTTGGATGATCATGATGATCGGAGTCCAAAAGATTGCTCGTCGGACTCAGCTGGGAAAGAACGGAAGGCATTTTTTGGAGGTTGTTTTGAGCCACACCTGAACCCGGACTCAGCGGTCTCGCCTCCAAACCTGTCAGCCTCTGACTCAGATTCGTACTCTCGCGACCCATGGGCCTTAACTGCTGCGCAATGATTTGAAGACGCTGGTGCCACTGAGGCCCGAAAGACCTGATTGAACCACTGGTGCTGGAAGTTTTGTACCGGCTTCGAAACGAATCGAGTTGAATCGAATCGATCGGATATTCAAGTTGTCACGAGAAGAGAGTTGATTCGGGATTGAACTTCCCATACGCATGCACAGGGCATCCTTCTGAAGAATTTCATGATGGCAACCAGGGACTTGAGGGACCAAGGTGGAGCCCAGGTGCGGTTGAACGATGGATACTTTGGCATGTTCAATCATCCGAGACTGTGATTTGGAGTGTGCTTTGGAAGGTCACTGGCAGACGTGCGTGCTTGGAGAACATCACCAGCTTATCACAACGCCGTCCCGCCTAAATGAATTTGAGGGGCAAGTTCAAGATGAAACCAAAAGCTTGCCAATGACCCTAGAGAAAACACACAACAAAGCGGTCCAAAGCAAAGGTGGTCCAGTGCCACCTGCAAAGCTGTCAGAGGAGCGTCAGGCTGCCGGAAGGAGAGTTTGACGTCAGATCGAAGGTGTTGGAGAACTCCAATGCCTTGTGATGGAATGCCAACCTGGCCAGCGAGGACCAGAAGCTTGTGGACCGGCTGGTGGCGATGGGGCGTTGGCGGGGGAAGAGTTTTGGAGTTCGGATTGACAACTTGGTGCTGGAAAAAGTTTGTATTGGAGAAGGAAGTGCAACCACTTCGGCAGCTTGTGCTCATTCCAGCCGATGTATCCAAGTGATGGTCAAATGGTCAATCCTGGAATCGTGGAGGTGGTCAAGGACGCCAAAAATTTGGTCGAGGCTTGAGTAGGGTGAGGTTTTCACCCCACTACAGTCAGTCATCCATCCGCAAGGTCATGAACGGTCCGCTGGTTCAGTTGGTTCAGTGGGGCAGTCTGGAAATCGAACCACGAGTTGCAACCGTCAGATCTTTTTTCAAGATCCCAAAAGCGTGTTGGCCAAGAAGTCTGTTGGAAAGGACAGAACCCTGGTCACACCTGGCTACACAGAGACAGGACACAACAGCCAGTGATGCAATGTGCGCCTGGGAGCTGACGTTGGACGAGGGCAACAGCTTGCCAGGCAAAGAATTGAAGTGGGGCAGTGGGGGGATGAGAAATTGTTGAAGGTCAGTCACGAGCAGTGCTGGGCAGCTGCGTCCTTCGAATGGAAGAGCGCAAAATCTGAATCAGGTCAGGATTTGGGAGTTTCTACAAGCCACAAAGGTGAGCTATCGACAAGGTGGTGTACAAGAGCGTGCCAATGCCGCTTTCGGGGAAAGTGATGCCGCAACATCGACTTTGTTATTCAGTGCCAAGGGGACGTCAGATTGCGGACGATGTTGCGCTGCCTTGCGCAAGGCCAGCTAGATTCCACATTTAACTTGCACTTCTCTTTTGGTTCCCTGGCGTTGGAACAGCAGAAACTCGCTTCTTGCGCCCTGAGATTTTGTCGCAATGGCAACGGTGGAGTGGCAAAGGGGGAGTGCAGGAAGACACGTGTACATCACTCATTGAATCAAATAGTGTCATCAAAGGCTTCCAGTCAAGTCATGCGTCGGAAAAAACATGTTAGCGCACTTTCCTGCACCTTTCAGCGCGCATGTTAAACGTTTGTCAGCACAAAGTGCATCACTGTGGCCCTCTTGGCTTAAAGGTTAACAGCTTCAAGCCCATGTCATGTTGAGAACATGCTGCGAGCAAACATTTGCAAGGCTTCACATTTGCCAGTTGTTGTCATTGCACTTGAGAGACTTGTAAACACTGCTTGGCCCTCTCTCTCAGATACAGCTGGATTTGAAGGACAGGTGCATGTCATTTTTTCCTTTGACTCAACAAGGTGGCAAAAACGATGCCATTGTAACTTGATGGAACGAACTCAGCCTGGTCATTGGGGATGAAGCGGCCAGCGTGGGTGCCCAGCTACGGCACCGCCAAAAGTTGACGCTCCAAATGCCAATTTATGGCGCAACGGTTCCTCTTTCGGCGACCGATGACTCGGCAAACGTTTGGAACATTCTGGACGAGACAAATTCGTTTGGTATTGACGATTGAGTTGGGAGCTCTTTGGGTTGCCCAGGCTGAAGACTCCGAGGCTTCAAGAACGAGTGAGTTACCAGTTGCCAGTTACACTCTTTGTTGAATCGATTGACCTAGAGTAAACGAGTGTCCTTGGGTTTGTGTGGCAGCAAATGAATGAGAGGACAAACACAGACATGTTGAAAACGGAACCAAAATCAACTCATTACCGCGGAGCGTTGGGAGTTCTGTTCGCCCTGTTTGTTTTGGCCAGGCAGCAAACCGGAAGGCCTTTGCCCAAGAGATTGTGGTTTCCAAATGTTTCAATCAAGTTTTAACAGGTTAAAGAGGAGATGAACAGGATGTTAATATAGTAGTCAATGACATGCAGTTAGCAGACCATAGTCTAGATCCAACTTTGAGCAGACTTTTGTTTCAACTGTTCACCCATTGTGATGCCTTTTGTGGAGCATGGTCCATGGCTATTACTTTCTCAGGCCAGCCCGCGAGGTCCAGGTACGCGGTGGTACACGCTCTCGCGAATTTGCAAAGAAGAACGACAACTATTTCGGTCTTGATTAAGGGAGGGCGTAAATGTATCGGTGCTCACAGGTGGCATACAAATGATACAAATGTATTTCCGTTTCAATCAGAATACAGAACCGGTTGTTGGGGTGGGAACACGAACATCATTCTTTCAAGGCATGTGCTAAGAATTGCACAAAGAACTCAATTTTCGAGTGTTCAAGAGGCTGATCCTGACAGATGTGTTCCTTTTTCTTGTTTTCCTTAGATCAGAACAAACAGTGTTTTTATAAGATATATCAAGAATCTCAAATGACACCAGGCACTTCGCCGAGGGCACCGGCCTTCAAGTTTCTTGGCAAAGAATGGTTTTTCTGCCTCCCTGTGGAGCGAATTGAACTCTGCTCAATGTAACCCAAGAAAGTGTGGCAGCGAAAGCAAAAAAATACTCTTTGGGATGTCATAAACAATTCCACACTGTCTGCCCAGGGCGATTCCTCTTCCAGGCCTACACAGGGACTTGACGGTTTGAAAAGCTATCTCGTTTTTCCTTGTGATTTGAGAAACGCCAACCAAGCACACAGCACAAACTTCTGGCTTAAAACATATTTCAACCTTTGAAAAGATGTCTCATTTTTTTTCCCTTGTGCTACGCGAAAAGTAAGAAGAGACGAAACCAGTTGTTTCCACACCAAAACCAGTTGTTTCCGTGCGCTTTCGCTCTTGGCTCGTTCTAGGCCTCTTGGGTCCTCTTGGAGCTCTGGGAATTCGAGCTGCCTTTCCGAGTGGCTCGCTTGGAGGGCTGCGGCCTGAGTGCTGATTGAGAGCGCTCTTCAGGGTTGGACCGCCCATCTTCTTTGAGTCACAGATTTTTGCTACTAGGAACAAGTGCATCGCTTCTAGTAACAAGTGCCTTGCTAGTAGTAACAAGAAGCTACTAGGAAGAAGTGCCTTACTAGTAGTAACAAATTAGAATTAAGTCAAATTAAATTAGAATTAAATTATAATTAAGTTAAATTAGAATTAAATACAATTTCAATCAAATTAAATTGAATTAGATTAAATTAGAATTAGATTAAATTAGAATTAAATTAAAGTAGAATTAAATGAAATTAAGTTAAAATAGAATTAGATTAAATTAGAATTAAGTAAATTAGTTGAATTACATTAGACTTAAATTAAATTAGCAGTAAATTAAGTAATTTCAATTAAGTTAAGTTTAAATTTTAATTTAACTAAATTAGATTAAATTAGAATTAAATTTAATTAGAATTAAGTTAAATTAGAATCACAGATTTTTGCTACTAGGAACAATTGCATCGCTTCTAGTAACAAGTGCCTTACTAGTAGTAACAAGAAGCTGCTAGAAACAAGAAGCTACTAGGAACAAGTGCATCGCTTCTAGGATGCCAGTTCCCGTGGCTTTGCCTGTTGGTTCCAATACTGCGACGCGATCTCTTTCAATTGCTCAGGCTCCTTCTACCCGATGCTCACCCCTTAGCAAAGGAAGTGCAAGACATTTGCAACGCCACAGCGCGTGGTTTTCGAAAGAAGGCCTTCGCTACTAGGGTGGAGGCCATCGCTACTAGGTTGGACTAGGTTGTTGGCCATCGCTACTAGGGTGGAGGCCATCGCTAGTAGGTTGGAGGCCATCGCTAGTAGGTTGGAGGCCATCACTTTTAGGTGGAGGCAGTAGGTTGGGGGCCATCGCTACTAGGTTGTTGGCCATCGCTACTAGGGTGGAGGCCATCGCTAGTAGGTTGGAGGCCATCGCTAGTAGGTTGGAGGCCATCGCTTTTTGGTGGAGGCAGTAGGTTGGGGGCCATCGCTACTAGGTTGGAGGGCATCGCTAGTAGGGTGGAGGCCATGGCTAGAGGTTGGAGGCCATTGGTAGTAGGTTGGAACTTGGCGTCACCAAGGTCTCCAGCTTTAGAGACAAGGCCGAGCACGGCCGCGTTTGTGTGTCATGCCGCTACGATGCTGCGTTTGCTTTGAGCCAGCCTTTTTGGCACACTTTGAATAGGAAGACGCCATGAGGTATTGCAGAAAATATTAATCACCAATCTTTCTACTAGGAGCAAGACGCTGCTTCACAGGGGCGCGTTCTGCGGGGAATTTCCTCAAGGTTAGGAGCCCCTAGTAGCATCCTTGCTCCTAGTAGTACGGCCAGCCCCTAGTAGCTTTTGCTCCCAGTAGGGATGCCCTTTGCTGCTAGTAGCGTCCTTTGTTTTGTAAAGAACTGCTGCTGACTCCATTTTCCTTTGTCATTGTCATGAAGTTCATCATTGTCAGCATCATAAAGTCACCGTCGTCAACATCAACATCAACATCAGCATCAGCATCAACATCAACATAAACATCGTATCATTTACAAAGTACAGGTGTAAACAGATGGCAAGAAGATAGGTACAGGTGTGCAACATCCACATCAAACACCTGCCATCACACCTTGAACCATACTGCGTCACATGATGATACCAACCCTTATCTATTTGAACGCAGAAGCTCCTAATAGCGATGGCCTCCAACCTAGTAGCGCATCTATTTCAACGGCAAATTTCTTTTCAATATGGTTTTGCCTGACGCCCTCGTCATACATCATGTCTTGAAGAAGAACATCATGCCAATACGCAGACATTGGATGTGTGTTTCTGACAAGTGGTTGTGTGGAGTGTTGTTCTGGCGAGTAGAAAGTGTGGCTGGATGTTTGTGGCAAGCGGAGAGGGTTTGTAATAGCACACTGGCGGAGTTGTTTTGTATAAAAACAATTGTAACAAGTTCTAATGTGGATTTATGTATGGGTTCAGAGCACCAGAAAATGACCTGAGAGATGCAGTGTGATCTGTTCTTAGGTATTTGGTTTCAGCATGTTTCAGCTGTTTGTGTTAGAAAAACGACTCAGTCGAACTGCAACCCAGTGCTCTGAGTGGCGAAGTTCAACCCAGTCTTGTTGGCAAATCACTTAAGCCACTAACAACAACTTAGGTTTTGTTCCAGTGATAATTTGTAAATGAGCAACAACAAGGGCATCGCTACTAGTAGCTAGAAGCTACTAGGTTGGAGGCCATCGCTAGTAGGTTGGAGGTCATTACTAGTAGCAGCTAGAAGCTACTAGTAACAACTTAAAATTGAAGGGTCTCTCATCCTGTGATCCCCGCCCCTTTTGAGGTGTCCGCACCTCCGTGGAAGGCGACGAGACATTGCTGGAGTTTCTAAATTGCATAACGAACTCCCAAATTCACCAGGAGCCCCTAGTAGCTTTTTGTTACTACTAGCAAGAATGCTCCTAGCAGTACGGCCAGGAGCCCCTAGTAGCGTCCTTGCTCCTAGTAGCGATGCCAGGAGCCCCTAGTAGTTTCTTGCTCCTGGGAAAAGAGTCGTTGAGACAAAAATTGAGGGGCTGCATGGCTTTTCCTTCTCTACTGAAGATTTGTAGCTGCTTTCTGACGTCCCTTTGCGCCAAGAACAAAGACACGAAGAGGCCAATCTCTGCTTGCAGGTGTCACGGACAGAAGGTCCTCCCAGCCCCGACCCAGACCAGGCACTGAACCGTTGAAACTCTGTGACTTGGAAAGCCACATGCATTGTTCGTCTCACATGATGGTGCTTCTATAAAAGCCTAGCTAAGCCTTGTGGTTGTTCATTTCTTGTTGAAACATATGTCGGATCCTTAGTCGATCGAGGCTGTTGCCGAGTCGAAGGCTGAGTCGAAGGCTGAGCCCAAGAAGGCAGCCGAAGCGCGTCAGATAGGGGTAGCTCGGCAGTCAGCTGTGCGGGGTTGTAGGGTGCCACACTAAAATAGACCTGGTTCTCAGATAGATGGAACACAGGCCTTCGCTGCGATCTCTTTCGTTGCAGGTTGAGGCTCCCAAATCGGTGCCCGTGCCAGTGGGATTGCGGCCAATGCAGGAGCAGCCAACGCGTGTCGCATCGTTGCGACGTGTCCAGGTGTCCGAAACGTCTATTTTGTTAGAAACAAGAAGCTACTAGAAACAAGTGCATCGCTACTAGTAACAA